ACCTCCACTTCGCGGAATGAATGTCAAGGTATGCCGTGGAGCCACCGCAACGACCCACCAAAGACCAAAACCTCACCTATGAATCCACTGTCTAGGTCCCCCCTTCTCTCTCTCTCTCTCCTCTCTGTATTCATCACTCTTCACACAACACACAACACACAGCACACACAACGCACGCACTACACACAATCAGCACTCCTACTCTCCTCCATGACTGCAACATGTTTGCAATATTGCTTCAATGATATTTTTCGCTGAATTTATTTATTTATTTTGTAACTGAGTGTGCTTTGGATTTGCTTGATTAAGTTTGATTGGTCTGGGCTAGAATTTCTTTGATGAATTGTTTTATGTATTATGAAGGCGTTTTTGTTACAATAAACCTTGATGTCTGAGTTCTAACCGACTTTGCTTTGTATGTTAGTCTTCGTTGTTAGTGTGCGAATGGTGAAATTGATGCGAGGAGGATGTGAATGCATAGACAGTAATATGAAAACGGTTTTTTGGGATTAGAAAGTCTAACATGCAAACTGTTTTTTTCCCTTTCAGTAGGTAGGATGAAAACTATTTTTTGATATTAGAATGTTTGTTGGTTTAATGTATGCAGCTTTGTATGTGAAATGTGGTGATCATGCTAATGGCCACCAATTGTTCAAAGAAATGCCCAAAAGAAACGTAGTGTAGTGGACAGCCCTCATACCCCAATGAGTCTCCCCCTCTCTATCTCTCCCTACTTCAATTTCTCTGCTACGCCAGCAGCCCACAGCCACTACCGCACTGCCTTCTGCCCTTCATCCTCTACTTGAACCCCATACCGACGAAGAACAATGCTTTCTGGTATTTTTTCTTTGTGTTGTTAATTTTTCATATATTTGTGAACTTATTCTCATTTTTTCGGTTTCCTATTCGTGGTGGGTGAAATGGATTTTTGGTACTTTTGCGTAAGTCTATTTTGAACTTGATGCGCGTTTTCAAAATTTCGAACCTTGGTGTGTCGATGACGAAGCAAATGGCGCTTGATTGGTTGGAAGGTTATGTGAACATGTTAGTTTACCAATTTCGTCCATTTATGCACATAAGTAAAATATTTGCTTTTGCTAAATATAATTTGTATTTTACCAGCGCTATGTAAACTTTTATAAATCGAGCATTGCCTTTGGGGTTCAACCAGTTGTTATTACTAAGTGGATTACCAGCAACTACTTCCAATTAATTTTTTGTCACCATCTTTCGTATAGATCTTTGGAGAACAATCTCGAACTAGAACTAAGAGGTAAAACTTGCCTTAATTTGATTACGTGATCTAATTGTGGCTGCATATTTTTGGTGGAGAGTGGGGGGCAGATTCTGCCTTCAGATTAGCTAGAACTAAAAGTCTAATGATGGAGACATATTTTGGTTGAACTAAAAGTCTAATGCTAACCTCAAATAAGGTGAATTTCTCCTAATTTTCAACTTTTATTGATTTCATTGATGATTTGGAAGTATTTATTTATTTACATTGGGGTTGGACTTTTGTATGTTGGGTTTTGGTGCCATGGAAGTCATGTAAATGCAACGTTTTCATAGTTGTAGCCTATGAAGCACGGATACGGATACGGGATACGGATGCGATACGATACGATACGGGTACGGGGATACGACAAAAAAAAAAAAAAACAGGATACGGGTACGGTTAGGATACGTCCATAAAATATATATTTTTTAAAATTTTATTATTATATTTAATGTAATAATTATGATTTATAAAGTAAATCACACTTCTATCAAAGATATATAATAATAACTAACCATCAGAGTCAGTCGATCGTCAGTGTGAGTGAGTGAGAGAGAGAGAGAGACGATCGTCGTCGAGTATTGACTGAAGGGAGTGGGGGGCTTGACGGGCTGTGGAAAAAAAGTGTATAGGTTTTAGTCTTTTAGATTTTTAGTTTAATAATATATTTTTTTTTGCAAATAAGGGTCTAAATATATTGCTCTTGTGCTCCTATACTTTTTTAAAAATTCGAGTAATACCCCGCCGTATCCTAGGCGTATCCTAGACGTATTCCACGCGTATCCAAAACGTATCCGGCCGTATCCGAAAATCAATTTTTTTTTTTTAATTTTAGTATACTTCTCAGACGTATCCGACGTGTATCCGTATCTAAAAGTATCCGATACAGATACTTTGACCCTTTGAAGTATCCGTGCTTCATAGGTTGTAGCACAAGAGTGACCACATACTTGCATTCTTTTCATTCTTTGATCAACTGAAAGTGGCCCATTTTTAAAATTTTGTCTCCAATTATTCTTTGAATTTCATTTGTTTTACCTATTGAAATAAAGGAATTTAATATATTTATTTTGGTTCATAATTCATTTCCAGTTAATAATGGGAAAATTCCCACTCTTTGTGCTATTTTGAGTGGTCTATCCCTTCTCTATTTTTACATTTTGGCTCTTCTAATTTTTGTTGTATTTGGGGCTTCCATTTAACTATTAGAACTAGGAGGATGTCTTTGGCATGGGACGGGGCTGCCAGAACGGGTTGCGCAGGGGTGGAAGGGGCGGGTAGGAGTTGGGGTTGAAGGTATGCATGAGTGTGGCTCCTACAGCAAGTGATTAGTTATGCTTTGTCGTCACTCCAATTACTTGGTTAAGCAGGGTTGTCAATTACAAGAAATGAGCAGTATGCTTAGAGCAAAACTTTCGGATTGAAATTGGATGGTTTTGAGATTACAATCTGAATTCTTAAATCTTTGTCATGTTCAAGGTGATTAAAACTCATCCCTAAATTCACGGTGTTTGAAATTGACTGGGTTGTGCTTAATTGCGAGCTTTTCTTGTATTTCTTTCCCCCCATTTTTGTGTCTATGTTGAAGTACAACGCAGTTAATTTGGAGCTAAAGTTGTTGACGTTGGAGCTAAAGTTGATAATGAATCTTGAAATAAGGGATGCTTCTAATGTAAGAAAGAGTGCATTTCATAGTTCAATATTGCTACTCATCTAATCACAACGAATTATCCCTCTACAAATTTACTTCAAATTTTGGTGCAATTTCATCTGATAATGAATTTTAGAAGTTCAAAAATGTTGCTTGAGCTATTCGTTGCGAGAAAGTTCATTTTGAGGTAGTTGTCTCTTATATTTGATTTGAATTTGTTTTCTTATCTGGGTTTTATTTTTTTGATTATTATTGAGACTTGATTACTTATTAGGTTGAGGCTTTGTTCTAATCGCTACGTGGTATCACAATGTAGTTTTGAGGCCCTCAATATATTTTTCCTGACATGTTCCACATGCGGAAGTTATCCAACTTTGTTCATATACCAAGTATATATGTTTTTCTTAACTTTCCACATACCTCGTCTCTCTCTAAATTTCATGACAAATTGTTCATAATATTGAAAAAATGCTTTTACATTATTCTGATATCATATAAGTTGTCATTAATACTTATTCAAACACTGGGTTAGTTTTTATTGACGATGAACTATGTGTGGTGCATTGCGACTTTGGTTTCTCATGTGTAGAATAGAAAACATAACTTTAGATCTTATCGTTCTGATATGTTTTTACTACTAAATATGACATTTATCAAAGTTTACTCGATGGCAAATACACGGTCAATTGGATATTAGTAGATGTAGTAAGCCAATTCATTTGCCGGATAAATTTTTCTTGTGGTCTTCATTTAGTCAATAATTTGAATAGATAATTTTCGTTTGCTGTTAGATTTTATTTGATAAATAGTTGTATTAAAGTAGTGCCGTGGCGTGATGACTTGAGTTGTGTTTCTTTAAATAAAACTTTATTAATTTGATTATGTAGATTGTGTACATAAGTTAGTATTGTTCACGGGTTACATTTTGAGAGGAATTTTGTCATTTCTTTTGGGTCTATATTTATTGGTGTTTTTTTTTTTGTATTATAAAGTGCATTTAGGCATGGTTAATTGCTTGCGATTATTTTGTTTATGGTATAGTGTCTTTAGACATAGACAATTACTAGTTTATATGTATGGTAATGCGATCATGAAATCTATGCACTGAGGCCTTTGGTGAGTACTTTTTAAATGTAAAAGCCTACCAAATAGGGGTACTAATGGAAAGGAAATTTTGTTGCACTAATTGTAATCCCAATCCATCAGAAATGAATATTTAATTTTGCACTCAACTTATATTTTTAAAAATAAGAAAAATTAACCCTTATCAAATCTTGCCAAACGGGTCAATCAATGACCCGAGTCAGTTTATACCAACCCTTTGCACCCCATCAACGTTCATGATGGTTCATTTCTCTGTCAGCAAACCATAGATTCATACCAGCAAAATGTGCTCTCATCATACAATTGCTTATTTCTATGCTGTCTACTATGTCTCAAATACTAGAATCATTGACCTATTTGCATAGCTCATCAATCCAACGAAAGGAAAATCCCAATTCATTCACGTATCTAGATCAGAATAAAGAAGAGAATTATTAGGGAAATCTTTGAATTGGTAAGTTCAAGGAAAAATAGAGAATTATCTCACTAGCATAGATTTATTTCTTAGAACCAATACCATTGAAGTTACTGCTCCTGTCTTTTCAAAATTGAACTCAAGGCAAAATTTCCTTCCTACTATGAGAATTTTTAGCTTTTTTTCTCTTGTTTTTGAAAAATAAAATTTTGATTGAAAGTTTAAGGGTGCATTTGGTATCTATTGTGGTTCTTTTTTTTTTTGTTTTTGTTTTTACTTTTCACAAAAATGAAAAACATATGCATGTTTGTTTATCATCTTATTTTTTAGTTGGTGAAAATGTTTGGAAAACAAAGCCAAATTTTGGAAACAAAAAAAACTTTTTTTTTTTGTGGAACATGATATCTGTAAGAACTGCATCATACACACAAAATTACATAAGTCTTGGGTATGAAATACCCATTTGATCAGCTAGCAGCTGTTGTTTCATACAGTCCGAGGGTTCAAAAAAACCAAAATCCCCTCCTTAGAGCCTGTCACTTCTAGCTAGGCTGTCAGCACACTGGATGGATTGCCGCATCTCTGGCTTTATCCTCACCTCCTAGAACTGTTCCATTAGTCACCTGCAATCATTCAATAAAAAAGAATGACAATGGTTGGAAATTGATCAGATCAACGATCACCTGAGCATCGAAATTGATTGTCAGCTTGGGTATCTGAAGCATTTCTGCCATTCTAAATCCCTCTCTCAGCGCCCTTAGTTCAGCAACCAAGCTTGTAGATCTTCCAGTGTCCCCCTTGAAACCTGCAATAAAGCTACCTGAGGTGTCCTGTATTAGACCACCCACTCCTGTTGGACCTGGTTTCCCTGAGCAGATCCATCTGTGTTAGTTTGTTCCACCCTTCTGGTGGAGGTAGCCATTCAGCGTTCGGATCTCAAGGGCCTTGGTGGAGATGGAGTTGTAAAGTGGATTTCTAAGGCTCTTGTGATGTCTGTCTGGTCTACTTTCCTTGGGTTATGGTGTTCAGTCTGGAACATAGTTTTGTTCCTATGGAACCAGATGGTGGCACAGGTAACGGGGAATAGGATTCCCATGAGAGGTGGTTGATCAAGGAGTTGGTATTGGATTGACAGTTGGTTTTGACTTTTGAGCCATTCTGCTAATGGTTCAAGGAACTAGGAGGTGAGGCTTGGGGGGATCCCGACTTCGTTCCAGACTATAGTTGCTTGGTCACAATCCTTCAAGACATGAATGGTAGTTTACTCATGGGCTCCACACGGTGTACAGTCCATTTCTGGAATGATACTCCTATGATTTAGCGTCTGGTGGGGAGTCTGTCTTTTCTAACGTGCCATAAGAAGGTTTGGGTCCTAGGAGTAATTCCCAACTTCCACACCCATTTCCAACTCTCTCTTTTATCATGTCTATACTCCCATCCAAGGCAATTTTATAGGCAGATTTGGAGTTGAAATCACCGTTTGATGAGTATCCCCAAATCCACGCATCAGGTATACTATTTATAGTCTGGATAGGGGTAGCTTTAATTCAATCCTGGAGCATTTCAGGGATAACAAAAGGTAGACTACCTAAATTCCAAGTCCCATTCTGAGATAGCAAGTGACCCATTTTCCAGTCCTCTTCACCAGTGTTTAGGGGGCCTTGGATCAGTGCCCTAAGAGGTTTCTGCTCTACCCAAGTAACATACCAGAGGTCTGCTACCTGCCCATTCCTAATTATCCAAACAAACTTTTCCTACCCTTTTTCATGCTCACCCCTATGTATGATCCCGACTTCCTCTTTTCAATACCATTAACATCTAAGTATTTATTTGACAGAATGGTGGCCCAAAGTATGTCAGGATTTTTTAGTAGTCTCCAATTTAATTTAGCCATGGCTGCTTGTTTCCTTGGAACGATTTTGCTAATTCCTAACACCCCCCCCCCCCTCTTCCTTTGGTTTAGTGACCTCATCCCAATTGACCAAATGGATCTTTTTCTTTTCATCTGTTGAACCCATAAGAAATTCCTAATAAGCCTTTCTAACTCATCAGTCATCACTCACTCTCTTTGGTTATTTTCCCACCTGATATGTATTGATTGTAGCAAAGACAGACGAGATCAAGGTTGGCTTTCCACCCTCCAAGCCTTGCTTGACCTTGTCTATAATATATTTATAATCTGAGGCCTCTGGCTTTCTATTTGAAATGGGGAAACCTAAGTACGACTTTGATTTTTGGAAGCTCATTTTTTGACCTGAAATTTTACAAAAGGATACTAATGTGTTCCTAATATTCTGGCAGTTCTCTAGAGACGCTTCCCCACAAAGGATGAGGTCATCAACGAACGTTACATGAGAGATATTTGTAAACCCCCCCCCCCACAAAAAAAAAAAAAAAAACCACTTGAACAGGTTTCCATATCTTATTTTTAACTGCTTGTTAAATCATGTGCGAAAGAATGTTCATGCAGATGATGAACGGATAGGGTGAAAGGGGTCCCTCTGTTTGACCCCCTGGTGACTTGGAACCAATGTTTAATGCTTCCATTTTCAACAAAATAGCAAACTGGGTAGATTCTACACAGACCATTATGATATTAATAAATATTTGATGGAAAATTGATTTTCTGGAAGGTATTGTTTAGGAAATTCCAATCAATCCTATTGTATGCCTTCTCGAGGCCTATTTTAATCATCATTGCCCCTTTTTTACCCTTCTTTTTTGACCAGGTATGTAAGAATTCCCGGGTGATTATCACATTATCAATCCTTTGCCTCCCTGGGATGAAATTTGCTTGGCAGGTGTATTCAATTTTTCAGGTGTAATTCTGTTATCCAGGATTTTAGAGAGAATTTTTTAGATTGTGTTCAAGTGATTCAAGTGATTCAAAGATTGTGGCTTTGAACTTTGGGGATTAGGCATAGTTACGACCAAAGTGAAACGAAAATAGGAGGACAAGTTGGATTTTCCCTTTCTTTTTTTCCAGGTAAAAGTATGACCTAATCCCAATATGCATGATGGAATCAAATCCTGCTTTAAGTATTGGATCTCCTGTCTCAATTAAGAGTGAGTCATGGAAGTTCAAAATCACGATTAATTTCTTTTTCAAATCTTGTTGCAGTTACACGAGCTCTTCCCGTGCGCCACAAATGACCTATGAAGAAGAAGAATATCTTAGAACAAAATGAGAAGTAGCTAACCAACTTCTAGGAGAGACATAATTGACTTCATTGACCTCAGTAGCTATGCCATTCTTCATGGATACCAGCACACACATGGTTCCACTGAGACTGGAAAAAGATAGGGTGGAAGCCATCTGGCCCACGTATCAGAGTGTTAAGACAGACCTCTTCTTAGGTCCTAACATTGGCTATTAGTGACTATGTGAGCCTTAAAAAGCAGGAAACCAATGCCAAATGTTATCAACACCCATATCAATATTTCAGTTGAGCAAATTCTATTTCTGAAAATCCGAAGCATTCCTTCAAGTGATATAACCATATGTATGACTCTTATGATAGAGTACAAACTGCCCTTACAACTGCTTCTGCTGCTGCTTCTGCTTCTGCTTTAGCTCTTTTGGATTAGCAAACTACCATTCATTAGGTGCTAGACCTACTGTCCACAGACTCCTACACACCAAAACAAATATCAACACAAAAGATCTTCATTCTTGGTAACTTATAAACTTAAACATCATATCTTTTACTAATATTAGGAAACAGCAAAGTAGAGTGATTAAACTCACAACCGGAAATTTCAATCACATTCTCTGGACCATTTAGTTGATTAAACCAAAAGTGAATGGTATTGCTTGCAGCTTGACCTTACACAGTTCCTCATCTGCCAAACACAAAAAGAAAAAAAGAACAAAAAGGAAAGTAACCAGACATCGCTAATTGTGACATTTACTAGGGAAGGAAATGCAATGTATTCAAATTAACACGTATAGCATCACCGTAGACAATAACAAGTAATCAAATCTCCAATTTCCCCTTCAAACCATCAAAATTCCACTTCAATAGCACTATTTGAGTACAATGCATAGTCGAAGAGTTGACTCAATAACTCAACCCCAAAAACCCTCCAAAACCCACGCCCCTCCCCTGCCCAAAAAAAAAAAAAAAACCAGGCGAAAGAGCACACATGCATCACTTCATGAGAAGGAAAGAGTGAGGGAAAATTAGATCTCTCAACTAACCACCCAATGCCATGACAAAAGACAAAATAAAGTGGGAAAGAACAATAATACCATGAGAAACCTGGAAAACCAGTAAAAATATGAAAATATATGATTGGTCAAGAAATTTGGAGCAAAGAATGTTTGAACATTATTTCTCCACCCTTCATAACTTTGTGTAGGAGTCATTTTTTTCCAATCAATCCCACAGTTGGATTGCACAACCCTCCCTTTTTTTGTTGTGGTTTCTAACTTGAGTCCAATTGGAGGCCATGGGCCCATTAGAATAGTATTATGCACTAACATTTATGATTGACCATTTATTTGATGATAAGTATTAATTAAGTGACCAAGAATATCAAATCTGTTGGATATTTGGCAACGCAATCCGACGTATGCATAAGATATAATAATAATAATAATAATATCCTAAAAGCACATAACCTTCCTATCATTTATAAATGTCCACATAATCCTCACATGGTTTGTGGACAATTCTAACACCGTTAATAGAAAAGCTAAAATGACCTTTATATCCGTATCGCATTCTTCTTCCCAAACAAACAAACAAACCCCCCCTCCCATTGTTATTCTCCCTGTCACCCTCTCCTAAAACCCAGCACTATTCCCTGAACAACCGCACAACACAAAAAACAAACCGACCCAACATATCTCTCTTCCTTCTCTTTTCTCAGTAACAAACACCACCGTCTCACCACTATTGTAGCATCAATTTTGTAGAACAACACTGCCCTTCATCCTTGCAAACACCAGTTATATACTAGAAATGAGTCACCACTAGTATTTTTAGAATTTTATCCTTGTTGGAGCAAACACCAGCATGCTCTCTCTATATATATAATGATAAATGTTCATAAATATACATTGAATTCATCTTATAAATATAGTTCATACATACAATCATGAATACATATATCCAATCTATGCATGTCTAATAGTACTCCTTACCTTACGAAAACTTTGGCTACTTGAGGTTAAGGATTCAAGTCCCCTCTCCCCCTACCCCCAAAAATTTGTTTAAAAAAAAAAAAAAAAAAAGTATGGTACATGTACCCATTGATCCATATACATAACTAGGGTATTTATAGTCGGCACTGAGGAGACAGATTTGGAAACTAAATGTTGTCTTGGCTTTATTTGGTTTGAAATCTATTTATTTTGGGCTTTATTTGTTTGGGCCTATGGCATTTTAGGTTCAATCCAACTTTATTTTCATCTTTTCTTTGATCTCTTTCTTGATGGATAATTAACCCCAAGGGATAGCTAGCCACTTGATAGATGCTTTAAGTTAGCATTGGTCAAATGTTCAATACTCCATAAGGTGAAAATGTTCGTTGGGACCACTTCCCCTAGATTTTATCCCTGTGCGTGGAAATGAGGCTATGCACGTAGGCCCAGATTACCACCGTCCAAATGCGCTCGGTTGGTGGGGTTCTTGGGTTATCAAAAAAAAAAAAAGAAAGAAAGAACATGAGACAGAAGGTTTCCCCAAGTCATTTTCTCCACAATTAAAACTACTGTCTCTATACACACACAAGTAGGGGGCTAATGTGATGCACGGATTCACATCCTCACCCTGTTCCAGCATCCGCACCCCCTCCCTCCATCGTTTTAGTATTTCTAGCCGTCTTAGAGAAAGAATAGGAGAAGAAGATGACATGTTATAAGACATGAGAGAGTGATAAGTTTGGGGGTAAATGGAAAAGGATCGAAGACATTGCAGACTATTTTCTTACCCTTTACGTAAGCCATACGCCCCAGACATAACAGAAGAAAACACTCCCTCTTTCCAGATACTTCCACACATTTTATAAAGTGTGGCGTCAGTTTAAAGTGAATGACTTGACTGGTGGGTGGGTGAGTGGTGGGTTTGTCCTTTGCAAAATATGTCCAATTGTTCATTGATTTTATCCCGTTCACATTCTTTTTCAAAAGTTTGCTGAGAAAGAATGGATGATGTTGGCACAACCTTGCAAGGTGCCTAATCACATCCACGGCTTTGCAGACACCATGTGCTGTGCGATTTGTCAAGATGTGGAGACAATTCACTATTATAGTGGTCCTTGGATGTTTTGGATTTTTCTTAACAATAATAATCATAACCCCACTAACCAATTTTTTGCTTATACATACTAGAATTCCAGGTTTAATTGTGTATGTCAGAATCAAATTACTGTTTCGCTTTTATTGAAACGTTGGCAATATTTCGGTTTTGAAAAAAATTAAAACGATGAAAAATCAAAATTTTTATGTTTTGGAGTATTTTAAATTATTTTTGAATGTTTGAACTAATATTTCAAAATTAAAACTTCCAATTTTTAATTTTTTTGTTTCTTTGATGACATTTTCAAAATGTTTCTGATCCCGAGCTAATCGAAACAACACATTTAAGCAAAATTTTGATCCTTATGTAGATGTAGTGGAATTTTATATATCATACTTTGTACATGGTGTATAGAGTAATGTAAATTGGACCAAATGTACTAATCAAACCGACTACTCTCAAACTAAAGGAAATCATATTTTGTAAACATTATTAGGTTTCCTCTTGTACCCATTAACCTCACTAATTTTTTTTTTTTAAATTATTGAATTGAAACAAACTCGGCCATTAATA